GATACGGAAGTGGATTAAACAACAATGGATACGGAAGATACGGAGGTCGATTATACAACAAAGGATACGGATTTGGAAGTAACTACTACAGTGACGAATCTAAAACGGCTGTAAAAGAAGATCCCACTTATAATTCATACAGTAAACTTTATTTAAAACGTTCTTGTTTATTTTTCTCAATTCAACAAACAATACTGTTTGTTAAAAATGTTAATTAACATTTTAAACAAACAATTTGAATTTATTTTTTTTAGATAAAGGGTACGGATTCGGCGGATACGGTTCTGCTGGATCATATAAAAATGGTTATGGATACGGAAAATCTTACTTTATGGACGAATGAAACAAAAATATTTGACAAATTATTTTTAAAATTATGTGAATGATTAATTTACTATTGTTCCTTTTTTTTTTTTTTTTTTCACTTGGATCTTTTGGAACGGGAAGCAGTTTTTACTTTTATTGTTCAAAATGATTTTATAAAAGAAACACGGACATAACCAATAAAATAAAACAATTAATTTATGAATAATTTCTTTTTTCTTTCGTTTGCTCAACTGAGGAAATTAATTTTCTAAGGAATTTTTCAAATTTTTTTATTGAAGACCAGGTGAGTTGAAATTTCACTCAAAACTCGGAGGAGGTTAGGCAATAAATAAACTTTAATCAGTTTAAACGCTAAATTAATCTACATAAAAAAAAATTTCACTTGAGTCAAACGCATTAATCATAAAAAAATTGAATGTCAATGTTCTTTGCTCGGTTTCTTTAAAAAGTTAAAAACTTGCTAAAACTAAACTTTTAATTATTAACAAAATAACTCAGGGATAACTACACGGGTTTTGAAGTGAGGGGCACAATAGTCAGTTCTTATACAAACTCTTCTATATCTAGAATTTTCGTATACAAAAATAAAAATTAAAAAAAAAAAAATCCTATGGAATAAAATGGTGGGGGGCACGTTCCCCCAGGTCCTCTCCACCTGGTGTCGGTAACAATGTAACTACGCAAGTTTCAAACGTTTTTAAGCTTAGTAAAATAATATGATAAAGTTGCGAATCATACTTATTAAAAAATTTTATATTTATTAAATTTGCTTTCAGTAAGGACAAGCATATTTGCGAATCCGATGAATGCTCACCATTTGTGCGCGTTTTTACATGGAGTTTTATGAGCATGCTTGGCCTTTTGTGATATTTCTCTTTTTGACCACGCGATGAGGTACTCTTGAATCTGTTAATACCTGTTTAATCAGTAATAAGATCGAAAATTTTGCTTAAAAAATCTTAAAAATTATTTATATAGATTAATTTATATTTATGTGTTATTTATGTTTATGTGTTTAGGTTATATGGGTTTATATTTTGTAAGTATGTAAATATCATTTATGTGTTTGTAAATATCTTTTCAAATTGTTGTGACTTCGCTTAGTTTACAGCAAGAGTGTTGATTTTGCTAGCCAAGTGGTGTGCTTTGCTATAATGTGACTTGGCTTTGTTGGGAGCAAGATTGTTATCCACGCCAGTTAAGTGGTGTACTGCAGTACACCATTTAACTGGCGTGTTTAGCGTGTACACGCCAAACAGTAACAGTACTGTTATGATGAAATACATAAATTAAATCTGTTTGTAGTTAGTATAGTCATAAAAAGTGTTAAAAATTTTTTTTGAAAGAATGTGTTTATAAGAAATGTTGAAAGATATATAGTTTTTTAATATCTATAACAATTTTCTTAATATTTTATTTTATTTAAGTAACTTTTATGGAACATATATTATACTTCATTTAATAATTTTTATTTTAATTTTTTAAATAATATTTTAATTATTTAAATGATATTTTAATTATTAAAATAATTTTTTTTTTTTTTAATTATTTAAATAATATTTTATTATTTATAACTTTAATTATTTAAATAACTTTTTAATTTTTTTTTAATTTAAATATAACTTTAATTATTTAAATATAACTTTAATTATTTAAATATAACTTTAATTATTTAAATATAACTTTAATTATTTAAATAATATTTATTCAATTACTTCATTAAATAACTTTTATACTGTTACTTTTTGAGTAAATTTGTTTAAAAGACACACTCATATATATATATATATATATATATATATATATATATATATATATATATATATATATATATATATATATATATATATATATATATATATATATATATATATATATATATATATATATATATACACAATAAGATATATAAAATTAATATCTACACATATATTATATGTATAGAATATATATTATTGACTTTTTTTCTTTAGAATATTAGATATCGGAAAAAAATTATAATAATTAAATAAGTTTCAATATTTCCAAGTTTCTTCACTTAATGCAAATATATGATTGTTTATAGAGATTTTCTTTTATTAGTTTTGTATTTACTTATTTATTGCAAATCTTGCATTAAATGCGTTTCAAAGTAATGAAAGGGTTTTTATGATAAATGAATACATTTTATCCTTATAGTTTTATCACTTATAGGTTACATTTTATCCTTATAGTACTTGCTGAGCAGACAGGCCTTATTTTTAATTTGTTTTATTTATGAGTTCTTAAATGTAAAAAATTTGTTTTTTTGATTACTTTACTTTCGTTTTTTTGATTAAATACTAATAATATTTTGTCAATAATTAATATCAACTAACTTAAATATATACTCATTTTTTGTGCTGCCATTTAGTAAAAGTTTTATTAGCTCTATATCCACCATTGTTGACTGATTTAATGACAGGAAACCATGTTGATCATGCTCTAAATCAAAAAATTTTTAGACACATAAGGAGTTATAAATCCTCTTTATCTTTTGCTTCCGTCACTGCCGAATTAGCTCCTCCCTCAAATAATGGCCCTTTCTGTTTTAGGGTCTGTGGGCAAATTTTGGCATCATGTAGGAAATTTGAGGCCTGCAGAATTTTCCCAAATATTGTCAGTTATATATCTATGATCCTAATGCAGCAGTGTCATTCAGAATGGAGCAACCTGGTAATGATGGTTGTATACACATGTTAATGCAACTTTTGCAAACATTAATTAATCAAGAAAACCCATTTGCTCTAGCATTTAAAAATATGGCAGAAGTAGAGGATAGAGAAATCCGCCGAGCAGCTTTAGAAGGTAGACCAACTTCTGCTGTAGAATATCTATTATAAATAAAATATAATATAATATTTATTATAAATAACCAAAACAAACTTAGAAGTGAACATTAGGCCGGGTGAATAAAAATGAGCAATTGCTTTTACTCAGTAATTGGTTAGCTTTACGTGAATAAAAACAATAGGAGTTTTGCTCAAATTTTTATTCACGTTAAGTTAAGCAATTTACTTAGTAATTGTTCGGCATTACGTAAATAAAAAATTGGAGAAAATTTCTTTAGCTTTTATTCACGTAAAGCTGACCAATTACTGAGTAGAAGCAATTGCTCGTTTTTATTCACCCGGCCTAATATGATGCGTTGAATGAACATGTAATTAATCGTGCTAATGATCTTAATGTAAGACCAGGCCGCATTGTTATATTGCCTTCTTCATATGTTTCTAGTCCAAGAGCACTAAAAGAAACTTTGAAGATGCGATGGCAGTCATTAAGGAATTATGGTAAACCAGATCAATTCATTATTTTTACCTGCAAATAAAATAGAGAGAAATAGTAGAAAATTTAAACCCTGGTCAAACTGCTAATGACAGACCTGATTTAGTTTGTCGGGTATTTAAAATGAAACTTAAATTTTTCTTAGAAGATATTTTCAAGCATGTAGTCTTAGGCAAAGTTGTAAGTCATGTGCAGGTTATTGAGTTTTAAAAGCGTGGTTTGCCACTTGTACATATTTTATTGCACTTTGTAAATGCAGATAAGCTAGAAACAGCAGAAAATATTGACAGTTTAATATCAGAAGAAATTCCTGACCCAGCTGTTGATCCTTAACTTTATGAAATTATAAAATCATGCATGATACATGGACCATGTGGAACTTTGAATCCCAATTCTCCTTGCATGAAAAGTCGGAAATGCACCAAAAAACTTTCTAAAGAATTTAATCCCCACACTGTTGCAATTTTAAATATCCACGCTATTGACGTGTTGATAACGGAAGAATTGTCAATATAAAAAGCAATCAAGTTGATAACCGTCGGGTTGTACCTTATAACCTATGTCTTTCTAAAAAACATGAAGCGCACATAAATATTGAAGCCTGTAAATACTTCTGGTTGTAAAGAGAGGAAAACCATCAGATATGGTTAAAGCCTGTATAAAATGTTCTCAACATTTGCAATATGTTCAGCAATTTTCAATAACAGAAAATATGAGGGTTCGGGCCGAGCAAGAAGAGTTCTCTCAATGAATTCTCTTTTAAAGTTTGGTAGTGGAACATTACTGTTAAAAGCAGATGGTTCCTTTCGCGGGTGTATTGAAATTCCTGAGCAGTGCTTGCTTGGAGCAAATGAATCTATAGTAGACAAGATTTTTGGAGTTGCAGAAGAAGATGATTATGCAAAATGTGCCATTTTGACACCTACTAACATAGATTCATTAGCAATAAATGAAGAAGTTTTGGACCGTTTACCAGGCGATGTAAAAGTTTATTTAAGTGCAAATACTATTGAAACAGATGATCTTAACGAAATCAACAATTTTCCTGTTGAGTTTTTAAACAGTCTTACTCCATCGGGAATGCCTGTTCATTGCCTAAAACTAAAAAGTAGTGCTGTTATAATGTTACTTCGAAATTTAGGTATTAAAGCTGGACTTTGCAATCGTTAATTAGTAATTAATGTGTATTATGTTTAAAATAATTTTGTTTCATATTTAGGTCGAGTTCCTTTTCTTATGGCTGACTTGATTATGGCTTACCTAAAGCCTAATAATAATGAAACAATGTTTCAATTTAAATTGTTTTTTAAGTATTTTTGTTACTTTTTGTAAAATATAATGTTTTTTTTGGTAATTTTTTTTAAAGTTTATATTTTTATTTTATCTCAAGAAAAGCATGTTTTTTGTTTCTTAAGTAAATATCTATATTTTTTAATTTTTGGATTTATTTTTTCAAATGAATATATTGATCATTTTTACATTGTTTTTTTTTATTTTTGTTGTTTTTATTATATATATGAATAGAAACCATTTATACTTAAAATCGTATTTTGTACTCGAAGTTCAAGCGGATAAAGCTAACTTATTTTAAATAACAAGTCTCTTAGGCCAGTTTTCTAATGTCCAAATTTGTTTTTTGAATAAATCTTGATGAGAGGGTAAAATCTTGATTATAGCTTAAGTTTTCAAAAACACCTGAAAAATTGTTACGCAACTGTTTCTATTAAGTTAAAGATCTTTTTATATATGAAATATTGGAGTACATTAAGTAAATATGTACAGTTTCTAAAGTATAAGAAGTCAATTGTTAACCAAAAATTTTAAATCGACTAATTTTTTGCTGTTTACTTAGGGTATAGAGACCTAACTAAGAACAAGTCTGGAAATAGGATGTGGAATAGATTTGCCGCATACCATATTGTACGAGTCCGCAATTAAAACAGTATAAATTGTAAATATATTTCAACAATTATATAATTTTTTTATAATTATATAAAAAATTTTAGAGTTTTTTTACAGAAACCCAGTGGGCACCGGATCTAAAGAAGACGTGTACAAGACGTCTTTTACGTTTTTTACATCTGGGAAGGCTTTTATATAATATATGTAATAAGTAAAAATACTAATTAGTTCTAAAGAATAGTAAATTAGAAATCTAGAACTTTAGGTAGTCAGTAAAATGCAAACGGTGTACTTTTTAGCGAACCAAAACGTTTTAATGATTACAAGAGTCATGATATTAAAAACATTTCCTCATCAATTTATTAAATTAAACTTATTGGTATTCGATAGATTTTATTTAAATTAGACTTTTCTTTTAAATTAATTATAATTTAACGAGCAATTAAAGTTCGACTTAATTTTCTTAAGAGTTCGCATTTTACCATCTAGTAGGTGGTAAAATGCGAACTTTAATTGTAATTGCAATTAAAATTGGTATTTACTATCTACCAGAACTTTAAATTAATTTATTTTTTACCGTTTACTAAATAAATTATAGTATAAAGACTAAGGAACAAGTTTAGAAATTGTCGGGTGTGGATTAGACTTGGCACAACCCGTATCGTACGGGTCATACCAGGTAGTGTTTATTATTTAACTTGTTGTATAGAAGAACAAACTTACAAATATAAGTTGTTTTTATTTCATTTAACTATCTTAAAAAAGAATATGGAAAAAAGAAGAAAGCGACGTTCTGGTTACGCATCCCATGAAAAAAAAGACAGGGAAGCAAATTATTAATATTTACAATATGTTATTTATTATTTTCGAGTGCATTTTTTGTTCTAAATTAGGTTTTTTATTTATTTTGTTATGCTTTTTATTTGTTTATTTAAAATATAACTCTACATCATTATATGTCATGCATATCAACTTGGTATAGGTCAGGTCTCGGCAACCCGTGAATTGCGACCCGCACGTTGCTCTTTTATCCAAACTGTGCTGCTCTCAAGGCTATCCTAATTATTTGTTATAATCCACAAATGTCATTTAAACACATTAAGCTGTTATCTTTTTGACTCTGTAGAAGATTTTCAGAATTATTTTAGGAAAAATGGCTCTCTTTATAAAATAAGTTGCTGATTCCTGGTATAGGTCATAATTACCGTTTTTGCTTGTTATTTAATTATTGAAATAGCGTTACAATAAATAAAAATGTTTTCTCAACTAAGGGTTTTTTGATTTCTTCTCCTTCTAATTTTCTTATTTTTTTAAAAAATAAAAATTTTAGTAAATTTTTTTTATCGGAGGAATATATATAACGGAAGGGGTTAAAATTGCTTAAACTATCATTCATTGTCACATAATTATGCGAACATCGAGTGGGGTAGTACTAATAAAAGTAAACTGAAACCTCTTTATTGTCAACAGAAACATGATGCATGCCTTATTGATTTTAAGGATTGATTTGCTCATGCCAAGCCTCTATTAATTGATATGAAAGTTTTAAATATATATGACCTTAATATTTTTAATGTTATATGCTTTATGCTTAAATGCAGAAACAATATTTCTCCTGTACCTTTTCATAATTTGGAAAACAAAAAAGAAAAAACTAAATACATTTGCGATAAGATAACGACATTCGTCAATCAGCTTATCAAACTAATTCTGGAAAATACTGTTATTCATTTTGAGGAACATTACTTGGAATGAAATAGTTTTAAAGAATTTTAACTTTTCTCGTAAAGTTAGGTTTCACTCTTTCAAACAAAAACTTTAAAAAGTCATTTTAATTGTAACGGAACCTTTTTTTTTTTTTTCTTTGTTTATATTTTCAATTCTTAATTCTTAATTATTTGTAATCTTCAAGTATATTAAGTATATATTCCAAAAGAAAGTTTGTTTATTTATTTATTTTGAGAATATTTTATTAATACGAAATGTTGACACGTAAACTTTTTAGCGATTCTCTACAGCAAAACCTTACGGTCTTCTACGAGTTGCGGCGTTCTTTTATTTCTTAATAACTTTGTTCTATTTTTTACCCAGTTTAAGAGAAAAATTAAAAAGAAATGTATCTGTCTTATTCATGTTGCCAAAAATGTCCCACAAAGTAGCAATTGCACTCCTGCGCAAATATTTTTACAAAATGGGCCAAATTTTGGGACCTAATATCTCCAAAACGAATAGCAATTTTTGAAAAAAAAATTTACCAGTGGTCTATTTTCATTGTTTTTTACAAAATATCTGAAAATGAAGACAATTTGAAGACATCACTTCCAGACTTTGCCTATATTTCTCAGACAATGGCTCTTAAACACAAAATATTTATTAAATAACTGTGTACATGTACAATGGCAATTTACGGAGCCTAGTTGATCTAGCTTTAACAGCCGATTTATGTTAAAAATAAGTCCAACTTTGATTTAAATTGTTTAAGTGTTTTAGAATCTACAATGTTTTGATCAAAGTTATTCCAGTTGTTAATAACACGGTTCGTTTAGAAATAGTACCTCTTTGGATTTTTAGTTAATTGTCTATAAAACCTCATATTGTGACCTTTCGTATTTGAAAGCTATTAAATCTAAAATAGATTGGTTTTCTGTAGTGGAACTTAAAGATACATTGTTTTTAGAGAATATTTATTTTAAAGAGTATATCTAGAAGATTTTTTTAATTATTATTTTATATTCAAAGTGTAGTACATACTCAAACAATCTAATCCAAACATTGTAAAATAGATATTATCATAGCAAGAGATTTTAATCAAACATTCAGATTTTTACTAGATTATTTATTTCACTTGGTTTTGAAAAACAAACGTTGCACGATAAATTATAAAAGAATTTTTGTTGTTATTAATTAAGCATGAAAAGATTAGAAGTTATAAACATAATTGAAGAAGTTGGTACAAATAATGCGAACTTGCAAGCCATTTTAAAAACTGAGATGGAAAAAAAGCTCACCAATAACAAACTTTCTGATGACATCAATGACGTAGAACTCTCCGAAAAAATTAGACTTTTTATTCAAAAATTTAGAATTAAGTATGCAAAACATAGTCGTAATTTTGAAGGACTAATTAAACAAGAAGAACACTGGTTAGAGTGTGATAATAAAGATACTAATCCTGAATCAACTTTAAAAGGAGGAAGACCAGAAAAAAAATGGGCAGAGTATTCATTAAGAACAAAAAGAAGGAAAGTTTCAAGGTATTTTCTAGTTTAAAAATATTTATTATATTTGTTATGCGTTGGATAACCTTATCATTATCATATTAAGAAAAATTTATCTAATAGTGATTATATTATTTTAGTTTAGCTAAAATCCATACAACTGAAGAATTATCAGAAGCTGTTATTTTGCATGCGAAATCTAGTCCTGGAAAATCTTATTTGGGAAAGAAAATTAAACTACTTTCTGAAAATAAAAATGAAACAAACCAAAGTGATAAACATCAACCTATTATGATGTCTGCAGATCAAGCTTTATCGCTCAAAATTCATTGTGATTTGAGTGATTTGCAATGTCAGATGATTAGAAACTCATCTCTAGTGCAAAATGCCAACATTTATCCTCCATTAAAAACAATCCTTGAATCTAAAGCAGATTGTTATCCAAAGGATTTGCTTATTACAGAAACGTCTGCAAATTGTAATTTACAGAACATGGTTAACCATACTTTGTCTCGAATTTTAAAACTAAATTTTGAGCTGCTTCAGAATTTAGATAAAACTGTAACCCATGGGGTATTTTGAAATATGGTATGGACGGTTCATCTTTGCAAAGTATTTATAATCAAAGATTTGACTATACTGATATTTCTACTGGAGTGCAGAATGAACAGTCTGTATTTCAAACTGCAATAGCTCCTTTGAAATTAAGAGTTGGGGATTCAAACATCTGGAATAATCAAAAGCCATCCAGTCCTCATTTTTGTAGACCTCTTCAATTAAAATACCAAAAAGAAACAAGTGAACTTATTGCACAAGAAGAAATTAAGCTTAGAAAACAAATTGAAAATCCGTAAGACTATATTTTAAATTTAGATCTATGTAATAAAAAGCACTGTTTGATAAAAATAAAAATTACTGTTGACTTAACTATGCTTGATGTCTGTAAATGCTATCATGCTTTTGAATTCATCGCAATCGTGCAATCTTTGTTTTGCGAAACCAAGTGAAATGAACAATTTAGTAAAAATCAGGATGTTTATTCCTGATGAAAAATGTCTTACTATAGACTTTTTCAGTATGTGTTACACTTAGGCTATAAAATGAAAATTAAAAAATATCAAGCAAGATCAAAAGAACATAAGCTTTCTGTTATTGAGCAAAAAATTAAAATTCAGAACTATTTTAGAAGTGAGCTTAGTCTTGTTGTTGATATTGCAAAGCATGGCTATGGTTCCTCAAACACAGGAAAT